TATACAAATATTAATGTTATAATATAAAATAATAAGTGAACAAAAATAACCATAGTAAACCCTAATATGCATTTATTTAATAAATTTAATATCTATCCAAGGAGATTTAAATTATAGTGTATACATAATATGTAAAGTCAATACTCAACACAATAAAACCAAAAATATACCTTGTGTTTGGTCACTGAGAACTGGTTAGTAGAAAATAATGATAAGTCTCTTCTTTGATAGAGTGTTGGAACAATTTTAATATAATACTGAAACATTGTTGCTCCTATACATAGTAAAAAAACAAGACATTTAAAACAAGGAAAAAGTTAAAAAATGTATTCATATAATATATTATATTTACACAGTTAAACCATTAATAAAAATGCATAACCAATTATTCATAACTCAAAAGCAAGGTTAAGTTGTTAAGTAAATTGGTAAATATAAAAGTTATTTTTGTATTTTTTAATTAAATCCAAAAAAAGAGGGCATGTAGACGTGGCACAAATTACCTAAAATTATGTTTTATTAATTTTTATTTTCAATACTAAAACAATCAAAATGTTTGAAAATGCATAWATATATTTTGAATTACAAAGTCGTTTTTTTTTCTGATAAGAATGTAAATAAGTAAGAGTTAAAACAAAATTAATAATTTCATGTTAGCAAGCAAAATGCATAATTTTAGGTTAACATAACTGAATAAGCTTAGCTCAAAATCATAGATTTAAATAATTYCACAATTTTGGGGGCTTATTCCCCCCTTCCACCATTAGTACGACTTACATAGGCGAAAATAAAGAATTTCAATAGGGGGGAGGCTTCAGACTACCATTATTAACTAAAAATTAATTTGAGGCTTTGTACCCTAACATTAAATGATCTAAAATAATCATTAAATTATTATTATAGGTAATTTATAATCACTAAAAGTTGTAATGTTGAAAGATAAAAGCTTAATTAAATTTAAAAAATCACCACCATATAAAATAATAAATGTACACAATTAACAAATTTACGATTTCGATGATCGTCGGGAACAAAACAACAAACATACGTTTTGGTTAAAACAGCTTAAAAGTAACTCTGTGAGTAGTGCCAGTTTGATATATATTGTCTTCATTATCGTGCTAAACACAAACATAAAACTAAAACTATTATAATATTATTTACGATGATTATGTGTACACCGTACATAACATTCAAAATCTTAGAACAATTTTTATAAAATACAAGTAAACCCTTAATTTTTTTAAAGTTTTTTTTTTAAGCACCTATTACGTAGGTCATATGTTAAATTTTTTCTTTACAAAAATTACATTAATACAATATTAATCTAGGGGCCTAAATTCACATTAGGGAGACTTAGCCTCTCCAAGCCCCCCGAGCCCCACCTTATTTGCGCCTATGCGTATCTGCATATAATCATCATAKCAATCAAATAACGTTAGAATATAAGTAGTTTTTAGGTAATATACAATATATTTAAAATGTTAAATACAAAAAAAAATCACTAATATGGTTTAAGCAAAGGTATTATTGTAATTAATATTATAGCTTAAACTTCAAATTACCAACTAATAAGCTATTTCAAACATTGTAGGCGGAAAAAAAGCCCAGAAAAAAAAMCTAACGGAAAAAAKCCCAAAAAAATACATCAAGGAAAAAAAGCCAAAAATATAAATGTGAACACTTATATACCGTWGTTCACTTTTAYCATTTTATCATTACAATTTTTAAATTTTTTAGTATTTTGAATGACAACATATYTTAGAGTGTTAATTTCATTATATATTTAATATCATATTACACTATACCCAACAAAATAATTATACTATAGTCTATAATGTTATTGTTATATTTTTAGTCGACTGACCTGCTGTGACTATTATTATTATTATATGACTATATTATGTACCTATTTTTGTATTTGAGTATCCGTAATCCGTATATAAAATTGCCTATATTTGTTATACTTTTTTTCCGTGGGCTTTTGTTCCTTGGCGTGTTTATTTTTTTGGGCTTTTTTTCMGCGATTATTCAAACATAGGTATATATTGTATGCATAACATTTAAATAATATTAATTCTTTAACTCTGAACTAGTGAACTGTTTCTGAACATTCCGAAGTCATGAACTTATCAGAGGGATATTTGTGGATGCGGATCATGAGGAAGTATACACCCGCCCGACCCGCGTAAAATGTTCGGTTACATATACCTTTTCACGTATACTATTAAATGTTATGAAATCAATAATAAATAATAATGATGTGGTGATATTAAATGATAATTTATTACCAAGTAAAGCTTGTGACCAAACATACCGGTAAACCGAGTCATCTAATATAACACTTCAATAATTTTCAATAGTTAATACAAGGATTTAGAACTTTAAGAAATAAAGAAATTGTAAAATCCGTAGTATGTAAAATCGTATTATTGCACCATTAGTAACTTCTTCGTCACGACATTACGTCCAACAACCAGATTAACGCATAATCGGCGTTCTTTTAACCTTTTTTCTTCTTTTATTATCTACTAGCTGCCAGTCGTGGTATATTGTATGGTATACAATATGGTCATATAATAATCACTGATAACGACGCGGTAATGTATGATAAGTGATAACATTAACATTGAAAAAAACTGCATGGAAATTTCAACAATACAAGATACAAGGATACAACTAAACGAGGGTCATTTTGATATCTTAATTCTATTACTTTTTAAACTCTCAAATCGTGAAACGAAAAGATGCCTGTGCCAAGTGGAAGTTTGTACGGAGGTCAAGGTAAACCATCATGTTACGATAGAGTATCCACTTCATTTATGATGGGAGCTACAATCGGAATAACTATTGGAATTCTGTTCGGTGGTTTAGGAGGCTTGAGGTATTTTCAACGTACATTTACATTGTAATTATATTTCTTATTTCTAAATACCGTAATTATTCCATATAGGTCAGGGTACAGGGGCCGAGAGCTTGTTGGCAGTATGGGGAAAACGATGCTGCAGAGTGGCGGAACATTTGGCACGTTTATGGGTGTTGGTGCTGCCCTTAGATGTTGATTAATTACTGTTTATTTATTATTAGATACATTTTTTTTTTAAATTTTTATTTGTGTAAAACTTAATTTCTGATACAAACTATAATAAAGAATGCATTTTTGTTTATTAGATATTAGTTTTTATACTATAAATGTATGGTGTAGTTGATAAAATAATTCACGTTTGGTTATGTTTAATTTACCTTAATAGTATATTATTAATACTGCTMACCAATGTTATATTAAAATTTAAAAGTCAGATAACATTAACTTTTAAATTCACTAACCAAGAACTAAGAAGTGTAACATTGGTGTGATTTCAAATTTTTCAAGTCAACTGTCACATTTTAAATGGCTATTATTTATTTAAAAAAAAATATTTTGTTTCTCCACAGTTCTTTTTAACAATATGAGTAATTCCTCAACCATCAATATGCCTATTGCACTGAAAATGTTTGATACATATTAAATACTAATAAAATAAAAAACCTATCTATACATCAAAATTCTAAGACATAACAACTTACAATAGGTAATAGTAATACTAGAAATTACAGAAAAATATTAAATTAAAAATGATTACTTTTATTTAACAGTTTTCTCATGGAGATTTCACATCATTCAATCCCAAGAATCAACATAATATGAGTTTTAAAAATTAATTGAAAACTTGGAAACAAATTCTCTTTAATCCACCTTATCCAAAAATTATACCATTAAAAATTAAAAGTTTACTACACTTTTACCTATGTCTAGTAAATAATGGTGTATTAGATAGATCATCTACATATTAGGAATAATAATTATAAAATAATAGGTACTGGCAATTTTTTTTTTATTTAAATATACATTGATTAAGTATTTTATTTCTATTGATTAACTTCCTAATCATCATAATTATTAGGYTATATATGTTGCAGGCAAAGTAAAAATCCAGGCATTGTTATGCAATACCTGTGCACTATGCACAATGCCCAAATATTTTGGGCAATGTAAGAATCATAATTTTAATACTCAAATTATTCTTGAACGGGCGTTATACTAGATAGCTATAATATAATACATAAATAATAGATAGCCCGGACAAAGTGATCCCTACCCAGATTCAAGTGGGCAAAGTAAATTAAATACAGTGCGGTGTACAAATGTGCATAAAATTTCATTTATACATAACACTATCACTACAAAATTATACTTAGATATTTCATTCGTACAAGAAAAAGTAACAGCTGGCGATAATATGAACCGATCCGTAATCTTAACGATAAAGTGATCACATAGTTTATTACACAAACATTATGGCTACCTACATAATATTTCAAAATGAAATCGAAAAATTTATATTCCGTATGTTGTATCCGTCTTACAAATGTGTAACAGAAAATTTAAGCTTAGCAGATCACGTTTAGCTCCGTTAGTTTAAAAATTAAAATGAATTTGAACTCTTATAAAATTTAAAGGTATTATCTGTGTTCATATTTTGTACCTCTGCTTAAATCAGAAGAAGACTTAGAAAAAGCTCTAGGCTGTGGAAATGTCATTGAAAACAAAAATGAGAAATACAAAAAAAGTGATTTACGATAAGTGAAAAAGTCTGTGAAAAACAACTTTTAAGTATTCTGTAAGATGTTTTATTTAATTTTTAATTTATTTAATCTACAGTGACCAATAAGATTTGAGCACTGCCTGAGTAATGTTAACTTATTCCAACTATGCCCTTGCAAATCGGGCATTGTGCAAAGTGCTCGGTCATTGTGCACAATGCCCAACTTCCTACTTTTCTTATAAGATATACATAAACATGCAATAATAAAAACATAAATGTGCATTATTGTAATTGAGCCAGATAGTTGGCTGAAATAACTAAATTTAGAAAGTACAAGGTTAAAAACTTTTAAAGTTTGTTCTTAATTAATTGAGTGAAAAATATTGAAATGAACCCTTAAATTTATATAATAATTCCTATAATAAAAATTGTATTTTGAAATTTATTCTTTTTTTGTAAAAAAAAATAAAAATAAATATTATATTTCATAAAAAAATGAACTGGAAGAAGAATTCATGCACTATACTGCCACACTATTCCTATTAGACTTAAATTTATCTGTATTTATTAGATCAAAGGACATAATACTATAAAATTGTAATAAAAAACAATCAACTTGCAAGTAAGTAATGGAATTTCGAAGAAAACTTTTAAATATCAACACACATTTTCATATTTTAAAGGTAAACAGTTAAACTATAAAGTCTGAAACCACAAATCATACAGATGAACATCTTAAAATGAATAAAAATATTTTGGTTTTTATGTTTAGAATATTGAACTTAAATTAAACTCATTAAGTGTTGTTCGAGGTCACAAAAAATGATAACAATATTAATTACCATTTCAACTATATAGTTATGTAATATATTTAATTTATAATTTTAGTAAAAACAATTTTATTAATTTGTGTTCAAAATTTCAAATTAAATTAATTATAAGATAATAAAATAAATACCTATACTCTGTATAAAAATAGAATATACTGAATTTATAGACAACATACCACGTGTTGGCCATTGCCAGAATCTTAACAATTTTTAATTGTAACAGAATTTAATTTGGTGATTCCGGACACGAGAAGAAGAAGAACAATTTTTTCGATGTGATGAACATATTTTTTTATATTTTCAAATTTTTTTCAAGTTTCATAAAAAATACAAATTTGGAATGAAACTGAAAGATATGCTTGGCTTACCATGATACACATAGAGTAATTCTAACGGTGATCACATGATAGTCAATGTGTTAATAATCAGATTAAAAAGATTAATGTAACATAATAAATGCCTACATCTAAACAAATCTGATTACACTAACATATTTTAATTTAGTATCAAGTGTATTCAAATTTCAAATTATATTTTCATTGTAAAGCCGTAAAWAACCTTAGTAAGTGAAATAAGTTTTTAAAATAATAAAATTTAATTTAAATGATAAAAAAAGGGCCTATTATTGACATTAGTGCTGAGCATCAAATCTGAATCAATCCACATCCAGATTACTGATCAGGATTGAAATAAAAATTTCAATCAATTTAATCCAGAATATTAAGCATTTGAAAACAATTTTTTTTTCTAAATATATAACTATAATTCTTTTACTAATCACAAAATATGTATTTTACTAAAAATGAAAAATATAGCAAATTACCACAAAAAACAATAAAACCAGATTAGATATGAAATTCGAATTAACGGGTTGGTTCCAAAATCCAAATCAATGGATTGATCTGAAATTCGGATTGAATAATTGTAATTCGTAATCCGGATTAGTCGAAATAATGCTCAGCACTAGTTGACATCAATAGAAACATAATTTCCCAATTCAAATATATAGAATTAAGCAATAAAATACTCATAAATTTCATCTTTGCAAAAAGTAAAAGCATATCAATGTTCTAAAGAAGTAACTGTACAAAATAGCCATATAGACTTATCATATTTCTCTCCATGCTTCTATTAATAATTAAATTCAAAAGAAAATAATCTTCTTGAAGTTAATTATTTTTAACTTATCAAAACTCATAGATTTTTATTTTTATCTAAATTAGTATTTCAATTTAAAACAAATATTTGAACCAATTTATAATATATTGCTTTCTTTTCTTAAATATAAAATTTTATTTTATTTACCTTCTGCAGCAATAGATTCGCTTGAGTCCAATGGATTACCGCCATGATTTGTAGTCATTGATTCCAATTTTTGACCAAATGACAAATGTCTTATAATATGAGTTGTGTTAAACGATGAAGATGAAAATGGATGTACATCATGAACTAAAATATTAATCCAAATTTGATAAAATAATAAACAACAATATTGAAATAAACAAATACAAAAAGGTTAAAACATACATAAAATAAATAATAATGTGCAATGGACATTACCATACTAACTTAACCTACCAGACCCATACTTAAAAAATTAAAAGTCTTAAAACACCTATAGATATATAATCTATTTGTTGTAATATAATCATTAGTAAATCAATAATTGTTTTTATTATTAAGATGATGTCACTGCATTTTTATTTTATCTCTCTTGCCTACGTGCAACTACATAATTTATATTTAATAGAACTAATCCTATGTAGCTTGTGGAAACATTTAGTATTATAGATTATACTTAATTAATCAATCTTATCAAAGTTTAAGTTCAGAACATAACCTGTGTGGCTAGGTTGGTTATTTAATGATATTTTAATTTTTATATAATTTAAGTTTGTAAATTATAACAAATTATAAATGCCTGAAAATTTCATGCAATTTAAAAGACCATAATAAAGACAATATAGCAACACAGGTAAAGTTATTAATTTAATGTTTATTAATAGATGAATTTACACTTCTATTAAAAGAAACACAGGATTGGTTCTCCTAAATATAAAATTCACTATATTGCATGTAAATCGGAGAGAAAAAACAAAAAGAGCTCTGACATCTTTTTAATATAATCAACAAAATAATAAAATAGTATAGTTGTCTTTATAAAAAATTTACAAAATAATGATAAAAATGTATTTCTAACTAATCATTAATTTTTTTTTTTTAACAAAACTTTATTTTTGCCATAAATCTAATATATACATTATCTGTCAATTTGTTCTAAAAAAAAACAATTATCATTCTCCATGTTAACAAATGTATTGTTTTAGTAAGCAAATAAATAGGTACTGTGCTATAAATTGGAATCCACGAAAAAACACAGCCAAAATTACAATAATGTAGCATACTTCAATTTTGTATTATTTTGTACAACTATTTAGGTCAGATTACTTGTTATGTCAGTATGTCACTAGACAATAACGATTTAAAAAGTAACAATAGATTTTGAAATGATGAAGTTATGATGAATTTATTAAAATTATAAAAATTTCAATATTATCTAAAAAAAAAATAACAACTGTCACAAGGACACAACTGTCAACCATTATAATTTATTTTATTTTACTGCTGTCGGTAATATTCATACAATATTATGTATGTTTTTTCAACTATGAGAAAATTGTGTATAAAAGACAGTCAGTAGTTATATGACAATATTTTATAAATCTTGACCCTGTGGGTTCCTGGCACAAATACGACCTGATGCCATAGCCAGACTGACTACTAATATAGTAATATGTCTTGTATTTCAATAAATTCTCTATAAATAATTGATATATTAATTAATAAGTCAAAAAATTAATTACCAACATGAAACTAGTATAATTATACTTACCATGCATATGATTAAATGAAAAACTCATCCCTGGCGCAATATGAAAACTTCCACTGACCTAACAGATAATTATAAATATAATAATCAATTGTTTTAAACAGTTTTTATACACCCTATAAACACATTTTAGACAATAAACTAATTAACAATAATTTTCCAAACCAAAAAATATTTTTTTAATTAAAGAAAGTTGTACATAATTCTATATTGATTAGATTATTCTTATCCATATGTAATTCAAAAATCAACATATATCTAGTTTTTATTACTTACCCTATTTACCAGAAGTGTACCATATAGTTGACAGCCTTCTTTAAATGCTTTGTCATGCATTTCATTTTGAGATGATTGATTCATACATTGTTCTATACTTGAAGGGCGGAAATCCCAATTTTTCATTTTATAAGCTCTTTTAACATCATCACAAGTATTACAACACCTAAACAATAAATATTTTTAAAATTAAATCTTGCATAATATGAAATGTTTTAAATTCTTAGTAGATGGATTTTATTATTACTTATTATAATGAGGTAAATAAAATAAATACACCATAAATATTGTATGTAATTAAGTCATTAGAGTGGATAAAATAGTTCAATCCTACTTACGGAATAGTTGAACTTTCAGCTCCATAACAACTTCCACAAAGGGCTTCAGTATTATTAGCATTATCTGTTTCATTTGATTTTAACATAGATTCAGGCTAAAAAACATATTGCATACTTAATTAATTTAAAATAAAAATCTTGACTTAAGTGCTTTTAATGTAAAGTTGCTTTTAATTGTTGTGTATTAAACATTTTATATAATATACTTTAAGAAGATGTTATGCCCCCATGTGTATCCTTCATGTTACAAACACACAAAATTTCAAATTTTTCACATATTTGAAAATACTCATAACTTGCTTCAAAATTGAAATATCAACAAAAAACCTTACAATTTTCCTTTTATAGTATTCTGGCCTTCATTTTGAGAGTAGTTAAATTCACTATACAAAAAATTATTAAAAACAGCAAAGTACAATGAATTCTCTAGAATGTTAAATTTGCATTAATATGAAAGACAACACAAAAATTACACTTATAAGTATACCCTCTTAATCTTAGTAATTTGTATTTCAATATAATTATTTTTAAATATTTCTATTTTTTATTTCTATAAATAAGATACAGATAAAATAAACAATTATTTTATAATATTTTTAAATAATATAGAAATTATAATATTTTAAATAAATTACTTACTTTTAATATTTTTTTACTGCCAACATCTAAATCAAAGATATACAAAAAGTTACTACTTAAATTTTAAATATTAATGAAAAGGAAATGTAAATCTCATAGAAATGACCATCAATTATTTAAACCTAATCTTACCATCAGATTTTTCAGGGTCACTAATTGGTTGACCTTCTAAATTTAACCTCCGTTTATAAATATTATGATCCACCTGCAAATGTGTTTCACCTGAATTATCAACTGCATCTAAAACTAGAACTAAAAAAAAATATTAATTTAAATATTAATGTAAATGTTGTTAAAAAACAAAGTTAATACATACAATCACAAGATATTTTAGGAACAACAATATCAAAATTTATTTGTAACTTTTTATTTCGTGATGTGTCAACAAAAAGTTCTTCAGTGGGAGTGTTGTCAAGATATTCAACTAAATTTGACACCATCAAAAGTACAATGGTCAGAAAACACACCAAAGAAACTAAAAGAAAATAAACAAAAATGTAATCATTCATAAATTTAATACATTATTCTTAGCCTAGTGTTGTTTACAATTAATATAATTAAAGTAATTTTGAATTATATATAATCCATACATTTTTCAATATTAATATTTTATGCTTTGGATTTTAATTAGACTATAAGAAATTGAGCTTACAATGTTAGGTTAACATTTTATAGTTATATCTTATACTTAATACAATTTTATTTAATATTTATTTATATTGTATATTCTTAATATATGTTAAATCAAGAAATAACATATGAATACGTACACACTTGAAAGAGGTACATCTCGACATTTAATAAGTTCCTATCAGTTATATAATTAATAAATAACATAATAACATTTAATTTTTAAGCACTTGAACAAAAAAAACTTAAGTACCTAATAATAAAATCAAAACTCAACAAATTTAGTGTCAACTAATTAATTACATATTATCATATTGATAAACAAATGCAATTATTACAATTTAACATTAATGCAAATATTGTTTCATTAATATAATGTAAATAATACCTTGAAACTTAAAAAGATTATAGTACTACAGTAACCATTGAAACATGTACAAATTATAAAACTACTTTGATTATAATTATTTTAAATTTAAAGATTGTCAGATTGTTTTGTTTTATTGAGTAAATAAAAAATCTGTGAATATTTTGGAACTATTAACTAATAGTAAACATTATTTGCATTACAGCTAAATTGTAATTGCATTTGTTTATTAAAAAAATCAATCAAATATGAAAACACTTTTGACATTTATGAAACAATAAACATGTATTAATAGACTAACACCAAAGCATAAAATATAATATATGTAACTATGTAAGTATATTGTTTATGTATGGCGTAATAATTGAATGGTGGATGATTACACTACCTACTATACAATTAAAATTCCATACAAATATATATTAATAAATATTTTTTTACCGATTCCTCCCCATACAGTTTTTATTTGAACTTCTTCTAATGGTTTAGCAAATGCGTCAAATTGTTTCAATGTATTCATACAAAAAAACCCTTTCTTTGAAGACATTTTTCTAAACTATAGTCTATACGTTTGTATTTGTAATTAATAATTTATATGTACAAGAAACAACAACTTAATTTTCATTTATAAACATTAAACACGTATACTAAACTAATACTAGTAGAAATAATACTAAAAAAATATTAAAATGTTTTATTACGACTACATTCAGTGTTATCAGTTTGTACCGCGAATCTTTCATACCGCGGCACAAATATGTACTAGATTGCTTTCTCATGATAAGATAGTAATTATATAGTTCTTATCCGATTTAAGTTTTAAATTTTTTATATGTTTATATTTTTTAATCGCGGCCGACGTAGATTGTGTTGTGATGTAGATGTGTTATTGTGTTAACGTGTTCTTTCTTCTTGGTAGTTTAAAGTAGTTCTTTATTGTCCTACWCTTCTCACTTCTCAGTTATATGATTATTTTGTTTTGAGACTATGAACTGCATTTCGCTTTGACATTTTCCTATTTTATACTATCTCTCTAATCATGCCGTATAAATGCTGTGCCGATGGATGCAAAAGCCGCGACGGAATTAAAGGTTCAAGTACAAAACTATTTAGGTAACTAAATACTCTACACAGAAGTTATCAAAAATAATTAGCTCTGCTAAAATATTCTTATAATAATAATAGTTATGCTTGCAATTTCGTTTTGAATTATAGATTCCCAATTGATGAAATAAGGAGACAAAAATGGGTGGACTCCATCCTAAGAGATAACTTTATTCCTACAAAGTATTCACGCTTATGCAGTCTCCATTTTAACAACAGCGAGTTTGTAGAAGCCCCAGAAAGACTTATATTAAAAAATACAGCTATTCCATCAAATTTCTATCATCCCACAAGAGCAATCAAATGTTTAAGCAACAAATTTAATCACAATTATAGTTCTTCAGGTAAATACAGAGTTCATTGTTGCATTTGTACTACCTACCTGTATATTTAGCAATTATTAAGTAAATTATATTGTCACCAACAGTTTATCTTTCATCAAATATAATTAATACATCAACAAATACAAATATACTTTCTACTTCTCCTAATGTACCGATTGAATCTTGTATTAAAAATGCAGAGTGTAATTATGAGGCTGTTGATCTGACTTTTATTGGACCTAGTAAGTTAAATAGTTTAAGACTTTAATTTATGTATAATATTGCTATGCCATTTCTTAAAATTTGTTGTAGATTCTAGCCAGTCATCACATACTCCTACATATACACCAACACTCAAAACAAAATTCAAGAAAATATTATTTGATACTTCGAAAACAACCAACCCTAAAAAACGAATTAAATTTTTAGAACAAACAGTTTTGAAGACAGAATAATAAATTAATACACTTGAGGTTTGTAAAAACTAGTTAACGAAGAATTTGTAACGTTACAAAATATGAAGATAATGTGCTGTACGTAATATCATAATCTAAGGCCATGATTTATGGGCTTTAGCCCATGGACCTAGAATTAAATTACTGCTATCTGTTTCAACTAAATACATAAGTAATGCCACGGTCACACGGTGATAGTAAAACACGATAGTTACTATCCTGAAATCACCTATCAGGAAAATGCCAATGTATATGAACAGGTTTATAGTTACTATCGCACTATCTACTTATTCACTCTCTCATAATAGTTCTTTCACCACAGCAACTACTATCATGTGACCCTGGCTTAAGATACAGCAATTAGGGCCAGTTGTACCGTCTATGGTTAAAATTTTRATTATGCTTAATCAGCTCATAACAGATATTTAACCGTGCAAATTTGGCCGATTAAACTCCGGTTAACTTTAATCAGAAATGGTACAACTAGCCCTTAGAAATCTAATTTATTATACATATCCTTGAACCACGGTACTAATGTACTATCTATGATCTATGTATAATCGTGAAGATTATTATTATGCTATTCATGGTTCAAATATTTCTAAATTGTAATGTTTGCGTATCAAATTTGTCAATTGGTCTCAACAGGTTAAATTTTGACAGGCATACATTTTTCATTTTTTGGGTGAGCTTAGACTCCCTCTCCCCAATATTTTTATCTAACTAAGTATAATAAATTATGTTAATATGTTTTAAATTAATATTTCTAAAATTCTAACCCCCTAGATTTTCAACGAAATTTACGCCTATGCAAAATGCTTGATTAAAACTGGATAATTGTCTTTGTAACCTTTAGCATTAAATAATATTAATTTATACAATATAATTATTTTTACTGTTTTTTATATATTCAGTGTTGATTTGGTGACTGTTAAACACTCAGTTTCCTAACATATTTCTCAAATGATTTGGATTTGACCATGTAGCTTGATTTTTTTTTCCAAATAACCTAGTAAGTAGTAATTATTATTTAGCCAAGATAGATAGTGCACTTTTATAAATTGAAACAACTACTTGATAATACACTAAATATTTAATATACGCTTTTAAGCAGCTCCAAATTKTTTATTACTTTATTAGTATGATTGCTATTATGACCACCTTTGCTACAAAATATACCAAAAGTAATTGATGTATGAACTTGAAAGAGCTTTTAGGACTACAAGTAGTACAAGTAAATCAATTAATTGTATGTAATAATAAATACAAAATTTAATTTGATTTTTCAGATTTTAGTATTTAACCAAGAAAACCTGTCTTCCTACTAGATTCAATAGCTTTTATGACAATGGATAGATCATTTTTATATTCTAAAAACTCAACACCTTCTGCATATTGAATGCATTGGTCTAGAAGTCTCTTTGTATATATTAAAAACTTTAAACAAAATTGACTCGTTATATGGTCCGATGAAATATTTAGATCTACTATTTAGTAAATCAAATGCATTATTCATATATGTTATAAATTCTACTGTAGCATCGAGATCATAGCCTAAGATTTATTTTTTTAATACAGTATCATCAGTATCTTATTATAAGTTTAATTCCAGGCTCCCAGCTCTTAATCCCTTTTTATAATACTATTTTTTAAATTTATTTTACTTTGTATTTTATTAACCTTTAAATCGATAAAAAAATAGTCGGTTGGTAGATTCCAGTAACCATTTACTTATTTAAGTAAAAATACTTAAACATTTTTTGTTACTAGTAAAATTTTATCTGGATCTGATATGTCGAAAAGTGTCAATAGGTGTGCCACAAAATATCATGATTATTAATATGCTTACTTATAATTTCAATAATAAGTTAAAATAATTTTAACGATTCTCTTACCCTATTTTAAGGGTGTGCTCGTCAACTATTCAAATACAATGTAAATCAGTGCTAAATTTCTCACTAGGACTAGATTTTTATATGTAACATAAAGATAATATAACCATAATGTTATGTCTCTGTTTTTCAATATCAATTAATTTCAAATTTTTAATAAATTTAAATATGATTTTAATTAAGTTTTCCTAACCAAAATAAACATTATTTTAAATTATTTGCTAGTAATTTATTGATTATGCAACTTTTTGTATTAATATGATGAAACCCTAATGTTTTTTTATTAAACGTGTATAAGTTAGTGTGCTACGACTAAATATGGGTTTGAAGGTTCAGACTAGTGTGCCGTGAGGGAAAAAGGTTGAGAAACGCTGTATCACATCGCAAATACCCAAATCAACTATAGATATTATTATTATTAGAGAGCAGATTTGTATGTGCTATGGGTAGAAGTACAATAATGGTTAATGTTCATATTATCCGGGTAATATGAAATGAACACTACCTGTACCTATTGAATAAAATAAAAATACTATTTATATTTTATGTGATAAAAAAGTAATTATTATAAAACAAGTATTATTTAAGAGAAATTTTATTTATTTTTATTAAAAAATTTTCAGAACACCATAAAAAAGATAGAAGCAATTCAAAATTATCGCTGGAGCTACGAGAAAAAATAAAATAAAGTTCAGATCTATTAACAAATTCCAACCTTGCAATGTTGGCGACATAGTTCGAGTCAAACTACCAGAAGTAGATAGAAGTAAAGGTGATCCACAGAATGTACTCTTTGTGGTTTTGTCTGTTAGTGATAATCAATGCTCGGATTTTATAGCACTAAAAATAAATGAAATATGCGATATAATATAACCTAAAAAATGTTAAAATAAGCACTATAATATAACCTAAAAACATGAAAAATAGCAAAAATAAAAATGAATTCAGCTCAAAATTAAAAAATAACTTATGATTATTATTTTATTAACTAAAGATTGTTTATGAATTAATAGGTACATTTATAATATGGGTGTTTTTTTTTAAGTATTCAAAAAAAAAAAAAATAAATACATTTTTATAATTTTCATAGCACATAATATTAAGTATTAACTAAATTTATGAAAATACAAAATAAAACGTTATATTATGTAAATTAGCAAAAATTAGCACCAAAACTTGAAAAATAGCACTAAAAACCTAAAATACTTCAAATATGCAAAAAATAGCATAATAAAATTTCATATTTGGAGTCCCTAGTGCATAAACCAAATGTATAGCTCACTCTGCTATTTTTATGTCTATCCTATAATAATTAGCAAATGCCATAAAATTCGAGCCCTGATGATAATCAATATTACGAACTCGGTAGTAAAAATGGCACTATTCATCAACTTTATTCTAGAAATCAATTTACTATATGTTCTGAACCATTAATAGATATTTAAAAAATTTTAGCCACAAAATAATATTTGCATTAAATAGCAATGTATGTACAATTTTTTTCTGGCAGTCAAGGTTTGAAGAAGTGTTTATACTTTATGTAAAACTAAATACTTAACAAATAAATGTAAATGCAAATCCGGGTGAATACTTTGTAATTCTAAATGTTATCCAAACTCAAATTGTTCTTATAAATAATTGTATTTCATTTTTAAATTTAAACTAAATAGTAAAAATTTTCAAATTTATAATTAATAGTTTAATAGTCATAATAATAAATAATTTTTTTTGGATTAGCATAATTTAGTTTTGCTACTAGAAAGATCTGTATAATCGGTAGGTAACCATTTTAAGTGTTTGATGCGTTATACTGATCTTTTCAGTTTAGGATTATAGAAATACAAATAATTTATACACAGCTCACCAGATAATGTATAAATTGATTTTTGTTCTTCCAGAAGTACTGAAATATTTTTCCTCAGTTACCAAATCTAGAAGATGAATACAATATTTTGAAGATCTCAAACTGTTGGAAAATGATTTCTCATTTGAAAATAAGAAATACAATTCTTAAATAACACATGTTATTTTAATATATTCCAATGTTATACTTATAGTTACCGTTTTGGTGGTATTGTATAACAAATTGAGTGATCCATATCTTCATTGAGATAAAATATTTCTTGTATGTATTACACTAACTAACAACAGAAAATAGCACATCAAAAATGTAAAACAATGCTTATTCAAATAAAATATTTATTTTTTTCGTTTATAATATAAGTAATATACATATATCAGAGGTCAGCTGTCTTTTTGATGTTTAAAATAATAATAAAATTTTCACAGCAATTTTGAATATAGATGTCTTATTTTATTTTAAAGAAAATATAAAGTGTTACTGCTGGGTTATTCTTTTTCATGTAACTCATGTCATGGTTATTTTAGTACATACTCTTGATGTTAATAAAGTTTTACAGATTGTATATAGTACATTTGTGATTGTATATAGTTGTGTATATTATGTTTAAAAATAAAAAGTATAGCTATATTAAATTTAGCTTATTTATTAAGTTTATAAATGTTAGGTTTATTAATTTAACAAAGTATCTACAATCAACATTACAATTAGCAGTTTAAGTCCATACTATTTTAGTTTATGATCTTTGTACAAATTATAAATTTGAATTGCGAGCCACAAAAAATTAAAAATAAGAGATGCTTGCTGTCCACCTCTGGTTTAGATATTATACAAAATACCTGGTATGTTCAACTAAGATGACTATAAAAACCAAGCCTTCATCTATATTTTACTATATTAATGGAGATGATAATACATTACTGTTAATGTAATATTAAAACACAATTCTTTTTAAATTAAAGTTAATAATAAAATATACATATAATGTGATAATTAGACATTAACTACTTAAAGCCAGTTGACAAATGTATTGAGTTTTTAAATACCAATTGACCAATTTTATCTCATTTCCCTGCTTTACTTAAGCTTAGGAATCTATCCATAAATATATTCTTTAATCTTTTGAAAAATTTAATTTAAAAAAAAGACCACCACATTACTGCCGCGTGGAGAGTATATATTTAGAATCTTTTTACGGGGACAATAATTTAAAAATTAAAATTATTATTATTTTTTTTATTTTTTATTTATTATTATTATTATTTTAACTATTTAAAAGTTTTATCTACTTATTTTATTGGTTATTGCTCATATGACTATATGAGTTTATTGGTGAATATTATTTCCCTATTCAGTTTATTTTTAATTTTTTACTATTAGAAAAAGTGATATGATTTGTTTTAAATTTTAGATTCTGAGCGGAGCGATGAATGTATTGATTTTACCATGATGTGTGTGTGTGTGTTTTTTTTTTTTTTGTGTCTGTCATCACGTTTTGGGGCAGTAAAAATGCTTCGATTTTTGACTTCAGTATCTCGTTCGATCAGAAAGTGAATCTAGTTGGTACTTTGAGGGGTCAAAAGTATTCTTAATACTTTTCTAAATAATCAAAAAAAACAAACTAAAAACTAAGGTAAAAATGGGAAATTTTACGCTCACTCATTTTTCGACAAAATCGATTTTGGTTTTTGATGTAACATTAAAACGAATGACGAATAGATACATGAAATTTTCACCGAATGTTTATATAAATATATTCTATCCACCATGCAATTTTCAAAAAWKKTYRACTTAAGTTGAACTATTCATAGGCATTTGAAATTTTCGATCRTTATTAGTTTTTTTTAAATTAATATCGATAAAAATTTATTTGTTAGACAGAAAAGCTTGAAAATTTAATACAAGGCTCTTAAATATATTGTCACAATAACAGTTGAAAAACAAAATAAATTCATAGTCACAATTTTTTTTTTATAAGCATTCAAAGTTTGAATTTTGACAAAATACGTAAAAATCTCGAAAATTCACAAATTATTTTAAGCTAGAAATTCATAAAAAATTTTCTTTTTAAATCTGAGATTTCAAAATTTAATACAAGATTCCTTACAAGTTTTTAAATCTTTATCACAAATACAAAGTTCACCGGAAATTCAAATTAAATTTTTATGAGCA